AATTGTTAAATCTAAATAATGGAGTATTATTCACAGCCTTCAAAGGATTTATGCCTGCAGTATAACTTACTCGAGGAATCACAAACAGTTTGTCGTAAATAATTAAATGAACTGTAGTCAATAAATAGAAGTAATATATTTGTAAAATCTCAGCGAATGAATTTGAAGTAAATTCGACGTTTCTCCTGGCAATCTGGTCCAAGATTTTTCAAAGAAAATACATTTCCTTGAAAAAGCTTGTAGATTTTACAAATATATTATTTCAATATAATGTCTTACATCAACTCGTACCCCAAATGCAGTGAAACTATTCACTCTAATTTAGATGAAAGTTCTAATGATTTTTAGTCCCATTTTAAAAAAAAATATTCGGTATTTGTTTATTTCTCTACTTGTCATCGTTGAAGTCAATTGGTTACGTGGCAACTCCGTACAATAAAATAAGTCGACTTAAAATGAAAATGTGAGCTTGTGCGCACTTAGTTATTTCAGTGTTTATTCACAGTTTTTATACTTAAATAAATGTGGAGTAATACTCTACTGTAATATTTTATAGTTTCATTTTAGCTAATTTCGTATCACCACATTATCATCAGATCTCATGTTTTTATGAAACAAAACCTTGCCAAAAAAGTTCGAATACTATATTTTGTGAAATACAATACACCATAAAGAAGTGATTTATTTCGTAGGTTTTAAACAAATAAGCTTAACAGTTAATTGAATATATAAGTATATATTGGGTTACTGAATATTTGATAGTAAATAACAAGTTCTGTTTATTGCCTGCTATCTTTCCCCAGCAATATATCTCTGAAATTCCTCAGAAATCCACTACGGTCCACGAGATTTTAACCATTTGTACTTAAATTATCAGCAGTGATTTTATTTAGCAAACAATCACTAGCATGAAAATATTAAGTCAAAAGCATTTCAGCTTAATGATTTGTTATGAAAGTTGAATGTTCCCAATTCACTCTTTTATAAAATCAAATAGGAGTACCGAATATTTAAAGTGGACGTTAGTGACTTGGTATAGTAAATATCAATTGCGTTTAGAGAAACAAAAATAAGCACTTTTTTTCCTAGAAGAGTAAATAACAATTAGCTCAACTAAATATAAGAATACTGTTCGACATGCATCAACAGTTGGTATGAATTTCTCGACTACTATACCACTGGTCATTTAAAGAAAAGTTAGATATATTCACTATTTACTTAATCATTATTATACTGTTTAATTTTAAAATATTTGTACATAATGTTCAGTGACCGTATTTGAATTTATCCAAGAGAACTAAATAATGGAAAAACAATTACAATAATACACATTAATTCAATAATTTTTTTTAATTCATGAATAAACAGATTTCAATCAAAGCAAATATTTTAAGCATTAAAACTATCGACTCAGAATATTAATTCACAAAACAATTTTTGAACTAAATATTGAGTGTTAAAAGGTGATAGCATAAGCAAACACTGCACTAGATGATCATTTCTTAACAATAAATGAAAGATATGAAATATTTTATCTCCCTCTTTTCACCGAAGCAAACTCAGAGAAATAGGTATACTAAGATAATGTGCACGTGTTGCACATAATCCAACAAACAACTGATCAAAATTCAGTCCAGAATATCAACATTGTGATAATTCACAACCTTATTGTTAATGATAGAAATATCACACAAGTTGAGCAAGTCGGTGGCTGTTCAGACTATGTAATTCAGTGAATAATTGGTTGACAAAAGGTACTGGGTTCAAATCTCAGTGCGAACATCAATATTCAAATGTAGGCAAAGTTAACTGACAAGTCTCAGATAAGATAAAATGGTGTCCCGAATTCCATTATTAGCCATTATCCATCGATTCTATAGTTATGTGAACTAGTAAATCTCACTTAAAAACATCTTTAAAAGTGAATCAAAGCAAAAATCTATTCGTATATGATACATTAGAATAGTTCTTTCCTTCTCTAATAAAATGAAAGAAAAATAATTGAGATCAACATTAAAAATGAATGATAAATAGTAGAAAAATAGTACTATCACATTCAGAAAGCTTAGAAACAAACTCACAGCAACTAATTTTTAGTCATCATGGATTGACATAGAAAAACCGTAAATTATTTCGCACTATAACACATATGTTTCATTAGTTGTTACTTACGATATATATATATATATATGGGGTCCTACAGTATTAAAGAACTATTGATATGATGTTACTTATATTGATAATAATGAAGTAGTGTAGTATATGCTTTAATGTAAAGCCAAGTGCCATATACAAACGATTAATATACATGTTTTATATTTTTGTTAAAAACGACTGAATATATCGTTGATTGTTGCAGTAAGAAAATAACCTTACTGAGAACCTTACTTACTTACTTACGCCTGTTACTCCCAATGGAGCATAGGCCGCCGATCAGCATTCTCCAACCCACTCTGTCCTGAGCCTTCTTTTCTAATTCTATCCAGTTCTTGTTCATTCTTCTCATGTCTGTCTCTATTTCTCGGCGTAATGTGTTCTTTGGTCTTCCTCTTCTCCTTCGACCTTCAGGATTCCATGTGAGGGCTTGTCTTGTGACACAATTGGGTGATTTCCTCAAAGTGTGCCCAATCCACTTCCAGCGCTTCTTCCTGATTTCTTCCTCCGCTGGAATCTGGTTTGTTGTCTCCCACAGTAACTTGTTGCTGATAGTGTCTGGCCATTGGATCCGAAGTATCTTGCGTAGACAACTGCTAATAAACGCTTGTATGTTTTGGATAATGGCTTTCGTAGTTCTCCAAGTTTCCGCCACATACAGAAGAACTGTCTTGACATTTGTATTGAAAATTCTAACCTTGGTGTTGATTGACAATTGTTTTGAGCTCCAGATGTTTTTCAGTTGTAAGTATGCTGCTCTTGCTTTGCCAATCCACTTAAAAAATATTCAAATAACTCGTTTCCGATATAAAACAGCAGGTAGTAATTCTTTATAGTCCAAATTTAGGTTAGATAAATAAAAATATCAAAATATCTGTCAGCAGTATAAAGTTTAAACAGATTCAGGAGTGGCATATTTGTCACCAACAGCACCAAACTGACTAGAACTATAGAATTTATTACAAACCAGATATCACTGAACAGCTTTTACCTTTACCGTAAAGTAGTTGAAGGCAGTTGGCTAAAAACGTTGAACCCAAGTTTCGTTTCATCTGGTACTCTTTAGTAAAGTGTATCTGCAATCTAGAGGGAACTAATGATCCCTGATGAATTCGAATTAGCACGGAACCTATGTCTGGGGGTTCTATCCAACTAACTTCGATTGCTTAACATGAAAAACATAGCGTACATGGCGTCGAGTCACTCAAACTATTGGACGCAATGCAACCTAGTGAACAAAATTCGACTTACAATATAGATTGGATAAATATGGTATTAGTCACTACTTAGAGATCAGATAAATTTGTTTTTGTACCTTCAGATCATGGTACATGATAATTAATCTTAAAAATTCATGGAATAAGACCACATTTGAAGAAATGAATGAATAAGTAATTAAATAAAAATGAATCTAAATAAGTGTAACGTTCTACATGTAAACACAAGATGATTAGAAAACTTGGTATAAACACAAAAAAACATACAGTGAAACATTACTAATTATATTAATATAATAATAATGTTAAAACCGAATTTGTTATTTATTATTCTTTTTTTTAAAAAAAACAAAAAATAAAATTTATAAAAAAGTAACAACTTTCCACTATCAATCTACTTTAAATGTGAAGAAGGTAAAGTTGTATTATAGAATTCCTAATCTATAATTTTTAACTGACAATAATTTAAAAACATGAAGTTCAGCGAAGGGACCTCTTTTCATCCATCAGCTTTAACCAGAATTATGCATACAAAAGAAATACGTCTTGTTATCGTTACCATTGCCTTAATATTATTATTATCATTCTATTATTATTATGATTATTAATACTGCATTCCCCTTTACCTATCTTATATTCTCATTATTTTATTCATGAATACTCATCATACCACCTTATTTATTTTTACACCTCTATGACCTTTAATTATTGTAACAAAAACATTTTATTCATTTTAATCATCTTATTATATCTGTTGTTATTACTCGTATTACGTAACCTAGTATTATAACCTTTCTATTACGTCATCTTGGTTATTAGTGTTCACATTTCCTCATGGAATTAGTACTTTTTCATATATTAGTACATTTTCATATGTACACGATTGTACAGCTTGATAATAAATTCGTTGAAAAAAGAGATCCCATGGCTGAACTTCGTGTTTTTAATTTTACTATTTAAATGGGAATTATATGTCAATTGATAATAGTTTATCATAATGTGCACAATTAAACTAATGACTTCGAGAGTTAAATCCAGGAGTTCTAGTGAGAAGCAGTGACCAGTGGAGTTCAAACCACGTCTGTTGTGAGATATCAACTCACTGAAGACAATTGGTGAATGGTTGCTCAACTTTGTGGATTAGTTGGAGTAAGACATAAACACCATTGGATGCCGGCTCAGTGGTCTATCGGTTAAGTGCTCCGGCACGAGACTGGTAAGTCCTGGGTTCGAATATCGCAAGACGAGGTCGTGGATGCGTACTGCTGAGGAGTCCTACAATAGGACAAAACGGCCGTCCAGTACTTTCACGTTTTCCATGGTGGTCTAGCTTCAATTGACTAATGCTTTCAACTATAAAATACTAAATCTCCACAAAACCCGTTCTGATAAATTTTTCTTTTTCTAATCCATAATCAATCATCGAAATGATTCTATAACTGACAAGTGAAAAAAAATCAAACGGATACTGAAAATATTATTCAGTTATTATTATTATTATTACATTCATTAAAATATTTAAAATTATAATAACCATAATTACTATTAATGTACTGGTTGATTTATCCATTGAAATTAAGAAGTTCAATGATCATCATTGAAGCGTTCATGTATATCTATTTTTTTCTTGTATTAAATCAATTCTTTTTTTTAATAAGAGAAATAGGGAAAGAAAAGATAAAATTCTTTGAATGGTAATAATTCTGTTTCTATGATCCACACCCACACAGATATACAAAAAATGAAAAAAAAAATGAAAAATGCTAAATTCAATGAAGCGATTACATTTTTGATAATTTTCTTTTCTTTTTTCTATATGGTAGATAATTTTTAACTTCCGATAGTAAGAAGAAAAAAAAGTGGAATTATATTTTTTAAAAAAAGGAGTGAGAAAATTGTTTGTATTATTAATCATTGGAAATAATATAGTATTCAAATCAAACAAAAAAATATAAAGCTAATCTATTAACAGAATGTATTGTGAAGTAAGATTGATGCAAGACTTATCTAACAGAAAATCTTTTATAAAATGAAAATGGAAGTAAACGTAATATAATTTTTACCATATTTTGTTATGGTGTTATAGTCAATCAACTCCGCCTGTAGCTCCTCCAGGGGCTACTGCCGGTCCCAAGCCCGGGTAAAGGAGGAGGGTTGGGCATGCGGTTAGCGACCCCATCCCATAGAAAATCAACTCGCTAAAAAAACGCTAACCAGAAAAAATCATTCAAACCATTCAAACTCTGCCCTGGGAGTAGAAGGAAAAATGACGTCTCATGATGAAAGCCGAGTTCATTCGGAAGTCATGAGGCCGATGTATCTTCTTACAACCAGAGCGACAATTTTTATAGGTACATGGAATGTCCGGACAATGTGGGAGACCGGAAGAGTCTTCCGAATTTCTGCGGAAATGAGGAAATACAACCTGGAAGTGCTTGGAATCAGTGAAACACATTGGACGCAGGTTGGACAACAACGACTGTCTTCAGGGGAACTTCTGTTATACTCCGGTCATGAAGAAGAAAATGACCCACATACACAAGGAGTTGCATTGATGCTGTCCAGAAAATCACAAAACGCACTTATTGGATGGGAATCTCATGGACCGAGGATCATCAAAGCCTCCTTCAGAACAACGAGAGAGGGCATTACAATGAACGTCATCCAATGCTATGCGCCGACCAACGACTACGATGAAGACGCTAAAAACCAATTCTACGATAGGCTGCAGTCAATCTTCAAGAAGTGCCCAACCAAGGACCTGACCATTCTAATGGGAGATTTCAATGCCAAGGTTGGAATGGACAACACTGGATACGAAGACGTCATGGGACAACATGGACTGGGAGAAAGGAACGAAAATGGTGAGAGATTTGCAAACCTATGTGCCTTCAATAAACTGGTCATAGGTGGCACCATATTCCCACACAAAAACATACACAAAACCACTTGGATTTCACCGGATCACACTACACAAAATCAAATCGACCATGTCTGCATCAACAAAAAGTTCAGGAGGACGATGGAGGATGTGAGAACCAGAAGAGGAGCTGATATAGCATCCGATCACCATTTGCTGGTCGCCAAGATGAAACTAAAACTCAAGAAGCACTGGACAACGGTGCGGACAACATCACAAAAGTTCAACACGGCCTTTCTTCGAGATGCTGACAAACTCAACAAATTCAACATAGCCCTCAGCAACAGGTTCCAGGCCTTTCATGACCTACTCAATGGAGAGGGAACCACCATAGAGAGCAGCTGGAAAGGTATCAAGGAGGCAATCGTTTCAACATGTCAGGAGGTTCTGGGCCAAAAGAAGCACCATCACAAAGAATGGATCACTGTTGGTACACTGGATAAAATTGAAGCAAGGAGAAACAAGAAGGTAGCAATCAATATCAGCCGAACCAGAGCGGAAAAAGCCAAGGCACAAGCCGAATACACAGAGGCAAACAAGCAAGTGAAGAGGAGCATCAGGACCGACAAACGTAAATATGTGGAAGATTTAACGATGACAGCGGAAAAGGCTGCAAGAGAGGGAAACATGAGACAACTGTATGATACAACAAAGAAACTTGCTGGAAATTACCGTCAACCAGAAAGACCAGTGAAAAACAAGGAAGGCAAAGTAATCAACGATATTGAAGAACAACGAAACAGGTGGGTAGAACACTTCAAGGAACTCTTGAATCGACCAGCTCCACTGAACCCACCCAACATCGAAGCAGCACCCACAGACCTCCCAATCGATATTGGCCCACCAACAATTGAAGAGATCAGCATGGCCATTAGACAAATCAAGAGTGGCAAAGCGGCGGGACCAGACAACACCCCGACAGAGGCACTGAAAGCAAATGTAACAGCAACTGCCAAGATACTCCACATCCTCTTCAGTAAGATTTGGGACGAAGAACATGTACCAACAGACTGGAAAGAAGGACTTCTCATCAAGATACCAAAGAAAGGCGATCTGAGCAAGTGCGACAACTACAGGGGCATCACTCTCCTCTCAATACCAGGAAAAGTCTTCAACAGAGTATTGTTAAACAGGATGAAGGATTCCGTGGACGCTCAACTTCGAGATCAACAAGCTGGATTTCGTAAGGATAGATCGTGCACAGATCAAATCGCAACTCTATGTATCATTGTGGAACAATCAATCGAATGGAATTCATCACTCTACATCAACTTCATCGACTACGAGAAGGCATTTGATAGCGTGGACAGGACGACACTATGGAGGCTTCTTCGACACTACGGCGTGCCTGAGAAGATAGTCAACATCATACGGAACTCCTATGATGGACTAAACTGCCAAATCGTCCACGGAGGACAACTCACCGACTCGTTCGAGGTAAAGACCGGTGTTAGGCAAGGTTGCCTACTCTCACCCTTTCTCTTTCTCCTGGTCATCGACTGGATTATGAAGACGTCAACATCTGGAGGAATGCACGGGATACAGTGGACAGGCAGGATGCAGCTTGACGATCTAGACTTCGCGGATGATCTGGCTCTTCTATCACAAACGCAACATCAAATGCAGGAGTAAACGACCAGTGTAGCAGCAGCCTCAGCAGCAGTAGGTCTCAATATAAACAAAGGGAAAAGCAAGACTCTCCGATACAATACAATATGCACCAATCCAATTACACTCGACGGAGAAGCTTTGGAGGATGTGGAAATCTTTACATATCTGGGCAGCATCATTGATGAACACGGTGGATCAGATGCAGATGTGAGGGCGCGGATCGGCAAAGCAAGAGCAGCATACTTACAACTGAAAAACATCTGGAGCTCAAAACAATTGTCAACCAACACCAAGGTTAGAATTTTCAATACAAATGTCAAGACAGTTCTTCTGTATGTGGCGGAAACTTGGAGAACTACGAAAGCCATTATCCAGAAGATACAAGTGTTTATTAACAGCTGTCTACGCAAGATACTTCGGATCCGATGGCCAGACACTATCAGCAACAAGTTACTGTGGGAGACAACAAACCAGATTCCAGCGGAGGAAGAAATCAGGAAGAAGCGCTGGAAGTGGATTGGGCACACCTTGAGGAAATCACCTAATTCCGTCACAAGACAAGCCCTCACATGGAATCCTGAAGGTCGAAGGAGAAGAGGAAGACCAAAGAACACATTACGCCGAGAAATAGAGACAGACATGAGAAAAATGAACAAGAACTGGAAAGAACTAGAAAAGAAGGCTCAGGACAGAGTGGGTTGGAGAAAGCTGGTCGGCGGCCTATGCTCCATTGGGAGTAACAGGCGAAAGTAAAAAGTAAAAGTAAGTTATAGTCAATCATCAACGTAGGACCCTACACAGATATACGTCGGGTCAAACTGGATGATAAGATGAGATTAACAAGATGAATCGTAGAAGAAATCGAAATAATGTAGCAGTCATGACAATGTGAAAGAATAAACATGGAAAATATAATTTAAAAAGATAGAGTGGAAAGGTATGTATGACGGAGTTATGGAATTCGACACAGAACAAAAGATAAGTGAAAAGTGAATGGATCTTCCCTACTGTGAACGATTTTGAGCTGTGGCATTCAAAATGTCCAACAAACGATCACGGTTATAGCACAAACTTCACCCAAATAGTCTAAATTTACCAGCATAGATAAGATCAACATTCGTTATTTTAATGAACTGATGCTAAGTTTTGTTTCGGACACCTTATTGGTATAAACTAGATACCAAAAGCTAATAATACTGAATCGTTGAATACTTTGCAATGTTTTACTCATTCAAATGATTGTGCCATAACCAAACTAACTGAACGTTAACATTAAAATTAATTTCTTGTAAAAAAGATTTAGACACCAGAAATTTCGACGTTGATATAGCGCAAATAATTTTTATAAGTATTTGGTCTAATTGAGGAAACTTTGGGAAATTTTAAGCCGAAAATCATTCGAATATTTTATGAATAATGTTAGAGAATACACAAGATGACTATTTTGATCATTTGACAATATTATACTACGAAAGATTATTCGGTTAAACTAAACAAATATGGACACGAGTTTGATTAAGAAAGTATCGAAATAATGCTTTCCAATAGTCATCTAACAAACGTCATCATATGATGTAGAATGGTCTAATCCAATTAACATATTTGTTTGCAATCATAAATCAGTCTAAGTTAAATCATAATTGAAAACGTAGAAGTACTGAACAGCAGTTTAGTACTAGGACTCCCAAACAGTACGTATCCACAAATTTCTGCCTTATTAAATATTAAGCAGATTTAGTGATTAGCTCAATCGTGATCAACTTTCAACATAATTTAAGATTGACATACATACCGTAATCTTGTAAATAATCAACAGAACAGTAAATGAAACATAACTCCGAAAACGAATTGAAATTTCACAACATCTAATCAAAGTATTATAAGAAAACCGGTAATATTAATATAAGTTTATAATTAAATTACATAAACTCAAATTACTGCATCACACAACATTAAAAAAGGAGTAAATATATCTGCACCATCTTGATCGATCATAAAATGTATCACTGTTAGAGTATCACTAATTATTTTTATCATCATGAATAAATTAATGTGGGAACTCGAAATTTCGCTAAAAAAGTAAAGTTAACAATCAGTATTTTCATGGATCATGTATCATCAAAAGACAGAATGAAATAAAATTTCCAATATTTATATTAAGCCAAGAAAAAAAATATTGTCTTATGTAAATCATCTATTTTCATTACTAAGAGAAACTAATATGATTGTCAATGTTTCAATAAATTACTATTTGACCTTGAAATAATTGTTAATTCTTTTTTAATTTCATAATGAAAGTAAGTAAAAGTAACCTGTTTTCGCTAGCTAGGATATATATGTACATATATAGCTGGATAGATTCAACGTCATTTTAAAATAGAAATTATCTATCAATTTTATCCATAAGTAAACTTATCCGTTTAAGGTCAGATGTTTTATTTTTGACAGAAAATTAATTGAAGTTAAATAAAAATTTTAGGTTTTTTATAGTAATTAACTCATCACCTCTAGCTAACTGGTCACGTTACAATCGTTAATCAGGTTTAAATTTCACTATATTTGCAATAACTTCTAATTACATAGTGGTTCCTGAATACAAAGATAGTAATATAAAGTATAAGAAAACGTAGATGCTATTAGTAACGATGGTGTAGGATAATTTACCTCTAGGCAACTCAAATGAATACCCCCATACCTTAGGCATCCTTTGAACTTCAGTTACTTACCATTGTAAACATGGTTTGCTCTGCTAAGAAGATTCATGTAATACAATGTCTAATTAACAAAATAAACTACAAGCAGCAATCCACTACCTTATGGATATTTATTATTTTCCTCGAAATATTTTCCAGTCTCCAGTGAACAAATGTTATACTACTCTCCATCAAATGACTCAACATCCTATGTTGCCGTATTTCTGTTTCAATATTCAATGAAAGTACAGGCGATTAAGATAGCGAGATCGAAAACCTTAGTTACCCATTGATAACTCAACCAAGTATAATTAATAATATTACTGTCTTGAGTATATAAACAGTCTTATGACTTCTTTGTTTTTCACGGTTTGTTTGGTTGAACTCCATTGGCCATAATTTCTAACCAGATCTTCAGGAATTTCAGAAGTCAGATATGTATCAGCAATGATGATAGATTACGCTAGTGTATAATCGCAAACTGACTAAAGCCATAAACTTAATGTTAGGATATTCACAGGAATATCACAAAAATTATCTCGAATGTAAAGTGGCATGTTTACAGACTCTTCACATATTTTACATGTTATTTCCTATTGGTCATTATTTACAGTTGTCCTAACTATGACTTTCACGTGTCGTTTTCCTATTGATCGATTTTGAGTTGTCCTAATTATAACCTTTACGTGTCCTTCCTTTCCATTGGTTACTGTTAATAGTCATCTTAACTGTATAAATATGCCTTGTCTGTAAATATTTTCGACCTGCTTCTGACCCCATAACAATTCTTGTTTAACGGCTGTGTTCTGATTTATTGGAGTTGGGGAACAGTATTGGGGTCGTACTAGGATATCTGAATTTGGTCAATCGGTAGAAATTCGCTTAGTCCTATCGCAATACGCAATACTTGGCGACATATTATTAGTGGCGATTTATATTACTTAAAGAGAATGATCCCAAATCAGTAGTATAAAGGTCAACATCACCTCAAATGCCCCAAAGATTTTGAGTTCAGTCGAGATTAGGTTCATGGATTTATACTCCTGGAGGGTCCCATACTACGACGAAATAGCTGTCGAATGCTTCAAGCTATTGGGTGAAGTTTTGTTTCATTTTGTATTGTTTGTTTGAATCTTCCAATTCATGTTTAGTACTGAAACTGATCAGTCTTTCATTCCACAAGCTAGTGGCCACCAGTACTCAGCAGCTAAGTGGGTAACGTGGTGGCGTTTGGAGAGAACGGTACTGGGTTCAAGTCCGGGGCAGACATCACCCCTGGGGTGCAGGTACACCCAGCTGACGAGTTCCAAATAGGACGAAACGAGCGTCCTGGACTTCACAGCCAGCCACCATCCATCTTTGCTTACAAAACTAGTTTATTTTTGTAATCAATAGTGATAGTTAGCCATTCCTTTTGATCCTACTAAGTAGTAAACATTCCACATTAAACGATGTTACTCAAAAATTCTCTAGATTATCGAAGAAATTGAGATTCCAGTCAAATCTACACTATATGCTCAGAAACATCGCATTTCAATGACAATGTCTAGCTCCATCGACTCAATTTAATATTGCCTACTTGATGTCTTTCATGTTTTATGTATCTCACTCAACCTATTTTCTAACTTAAGTCTATGAATGTTTAACGTTTTTTCACTTATGCACAAACATCTATACATTTCGGTCAAGTCAACAATCCGTTGGTCACTACCATGACAAAACCTTATTCACTGTATCTTGGGTCTAAAAGTAATTTTTCACTAGATTCTGTTTTGTCATGAAAACAACCTTTACACCATTTTAACTGGTTTTAAAATGAAGATTCATGTTATCTACAATGCCTTGCTTAGTGTGCAATGGGTTAGTATTTCTAGCGAAATGTGTTAAGTTGAAGTTAGTACCGTAGAAAACTACTTTGAGATGTAGATAAATCTAACGAATTCTGAACAGGACAAAACGCATGACTTGGATCCCACGACAAGCCACAATCTAACTTTCGTAAAAGCTTATGACTAAATGAGAATATCAAGATGATCTGCTCGGAATGAAAATGTACGAAAAGTGACTGAACAGCTGCAATCTCCAACATAAATAAAAAGCCAAAATTGAAACCTATACAAATTTAAACACAATAATAATTATCACAATTTATTAAAATATCAAAAAGAATTTCAAACTTACTAATTTATAAATTGGACGCAGCTCAGAAAATTCCCATAACATAAACAATAACTGACGTATAAGTTTAATAACAGTTTGAGTAGTTTTATCTTTATCCATTAATTGTTCATTACAATTAAATCTTATTAAATGTCCATTATTAAGGCAAATTTTTAATAATTCTTGACATTTCTCAACTCCTCCTAGCGTAACGAAACGTCTATAAAGAAGTTGAATAAAGTAAATGAAATAATTAGAAAAATGGTGTAAATACATATAGTTGTGCACAAAAATTTTTTTCCTGCCAAGGAGAAGGGGTTGTAATTGGAAAGTAAACAAGAATATAATATCGACTGTCGGAAACAAAATAGTTTTTTTCAAATGAAACAATCGATTTTTTTCCCTATCAATTACACAAGTTCACAGTAAAATAAAAAAAATTTAAAAAAAAACAAAATACGCATATTTCGGTGACTATCCAATTCTATTATGAAAGACAATGTTTGTTGTTATATTATGTATGTCTTTTCTATCTGTCCCCTCCATTTAACAAATATTCATTTATATAATTAATTAGTGATTAATTTTACAGTAATTTCAATCTCCCATTTTTTGTACTAAACAATAATATTAGGTCCATTTGGTGAGACTTTTAGCAAATAGAAAGATAACAACGTTGAAATCTATTGATATTGCCTGATAATAAAATTTATGAAATTATTGTAAAACTATACGATATTCATGAGAGCCAGAGTGGATAATTCAAAGACAATATTAAATTAGATATTTGCTTAGATAAGTTTTTTTTAGTGTCTGTGAAATGGAATACTTATTAGACCAGATTTTCACGATTACTATCAAGGTAAAATCATTTAATTGTAGGTCAGCTACATATTGCTATGTTATCCAAAAGATAATGTCAGCTTTGAATATTTTGTAACCAAGTTACGTTAGTCAGTAAATTAGCCAGTTAGTCACATTCAAATTAGAATCTAGTACAAATGTCTAATGGTTCGAGTTACGATACCACATTGACACAACAAGATAATATTATCAACACAAATACCAAAATGTGGAAGTAGTAATAGTATCATGAGTAGTAGAAAGATTCAGATATAAATTGAACAAAAAAACAGGATAAGTCGATTTCTGGACGAAAACTGAATGCAGATGCACCATTTAGGATAATTTTGAACCATGTCACCCAACGTCTTTAACCGTTGATTATAATAATCGTCCTGGCCCAAATCAAGTAGTTCGCATCTACCTATATGGTTCAGTCGAACGGTCAGCAACTTCATGAAGGTATCCCAAGAAACATCTAACTGACGAACTCTACATAAAACGGAATGCCCTTCTAGGATTTTTCTGCTAGTCTTTATCCGAACCTAATTAAAAATTAAGGTTAAATGACAATACATATGGGATCCACTCAATATGCATATATATCAGCTAAAACTAATTAATTGAACCTTTTAATATCACCTATTGAAAAATGAAATCAAATTATAAACCCTTACAAATAAAATAATATTACTAATTTTTTCAGACTTTGAACTTTCAATCAGTTTGTTATGAGCTTGAAACAAACTCTATCTACTGAAGTTTTAAACAGTAATTTGGTATGAATTGCCATTTACACAATACATATAACTCATAGCCAGCACGGATTAAAAAAGCTCGTTTGACTTTTGACAACCCACGTTATCTATAGCGAAGACAAGATATCCGTCTATCAATCAAGGGACGAGTATACTGCGCAGCAGTTCACTCTAT